AAGGAGAATTACTGTTCCTTTTGAAGTTCTGATAACCTGCCTGCTCCACGTGCCCAAAATGTTTCATACCCATGCATAGATTAGTTTGGAACTAGTCTTGTGTGTGAATTTAGTTGTTGCTTAGTTGTTTACACATAATCCTTTTATTTTCCCCTGCGTATTCTCATTCGCTGTCTTCCAGTGCAAACCCCTCTTGTTTCCCATGTGCTTTTCCCGGTTGTTCTCTGGAATGTTTCCTGGAGTAAAATAGCTGGAAGATGTTACCAGCCAGTTAAAGAGGACTGGCCCGGCAGAACAGGAGTGTAGGAAGATGAAATTCAGGACTGACACAGATCCATGTATTTCAGTGCCTCCACACTTGGCATCTCACCATGCAATAGCAGCTTCCCTCACACACCTTGGATCCCCAGGAGAAGAGGAGTGTTGTGATGAGTAAGATGCAGCACACAGAGGTGAATGGTATTTATAGCCCAGCTCAAAATAATTTTTCCAGACGCTTCCTAGGTTGGTGTGGGCTGGCTTTGGTCGTGTTTGCCTCCTCCCCACCTGATCAGGGACCGACACAGCTCCTTTCCTCATCTCTTAATTGGCAAACTTGCTTCTCCAAAACCTCTCTCTTTTGCCTCGTGCAAATTGTGCACTCACTGGCCGTGAGAAGAGCCCTGCCTTGGAATGAGCCCTCACAGAGGCAGGAGCGTTTCAAGACAATCAAAATCCCAATTTTTACTGGGCTGAGTCTGCAATACAAAACTCCTCAGGTATTTCTGAACACCGAGAGCAGCACTTACTTGGGCAAATCTGGTCCTGGGCTGGTTAAGAAGTGCCCAGGCAGGTCACTGTAATTTTAATAACCCTCAGGAGTGACAAAGCTTTGCCCACACAGCCCTAACTGCAAGATAGGGTCACAAGTAACAATTTGGTGTCTTGTATCCAATCAAGGGGCTTTTGTTCAGTCCCTTTTGTTGCTGATTTGGGATCTTTCTTTTCTTTCCTGTTGACCCCTTATTAACTGGTGGCACAGGAATACCCAGTGTCCATTATTCTAATTGTTGTCCCATTTCTGTATAAAATGATTTCTGAGTCACATCCAAAGCCATATAGACTCCTTTCATTGCCATGACAACAGCAAGGCATGCCAATGTTAGCAGTGTCTGCTGGAAAAAAAAAAAGGCAGTAAAAGCGAAAAACAGTTAATTGAGGTATTTCACGCCTAAATCCCATTTTCTGTAATGATCCAAAATTATCCTGCATTGTGGAAAAGTAGTTAAGAACAAGCCCTAGATAAATAGCACGGCCTCATGCTGAACGTTGAGTCTTGTCCTAGGCACTGCAGTACAAAAAAAGATCTTACAAAAATAGGGAGGGTGGAATTGGTCACAGCCCTGGTGTCATGTTTGGATCAGGAGAGGATGAAGAGTTAAATGTGGTTGCTAAAAATAAAGGATAACCACTAACAGCTTTAGAAAAAGGGTTCATCTTAAATTGCAGGTTGTTCTTTCATTATCGTACCTTCATCTTCATTGCCTGAGTACATCTGATGTGATTACATAACAATACATTTTAAACTAATAAATAATGCAGCAACTCATGTAAAATAATAGGAAATCATTGATGTAAAATAGGTCTTGCAGAGCTGAATGTTAGGAGAAATCTGCCTTAGCCCAAGTGAAGCTGAGAAAGAGGAGAGCCAGAGGGTGGGACTTGATGGGTGTGCAGTCATCAGGGAGGATTATTTGTGTTTTAAGGGAGGTGAGAGCACAGAGATAACAGAGGTACCATCTACAGCCTCCTTTCCTTGAAACCTGCATGATCCTGTGGCTTTCTCCTGGCCTCCCTCCATGCTTTGAAGCCGAGATGGAGCCTGTTTTGGAAATAGAATTGAGCATGAATGTCCTGCAGTCAGGGCCGTTACCTGCTGAACTCCTGACATTTGTGGGGTTTGAAGTCCTCTGCTTATGCCTGTGGAGGAGGGGAGAGGAGGGATGGTGCTGCCCACTGGAAAGCTGTGCTTCAGGTATTATCCCTGGGCTGGCCCATAAAACTCTTCCCAACTTTTTTTGTTGTTTTCACCCTGCTAATGCACTGCTGCAGGGCTAATCTGTCCTCTGATGTGTCCTCAGGGTGCCCAAACGAGTTTCAGGAGCCCCTGCACGTTCCAAAGGATGGGAGTGCTGCGTTTTCATTTAATGGCAGCTGACTCTCCAATGAGGTGACTGATTTCTGGTGACAGCCACAGGTGTTGTCACAGCAAATGTAACTCTGGTTCCCCTTATGTTATAGCCTTGTTTTTAGACCCACTGGTACTCCTGTAGGTTAGAATGCTGTTGGCTTCCTCTGGGTTCTCATGAATTTTGACAGTACTTGCCAGCTTAGGGAGATGGAACAAACCTCCCCAATCTGCATCACTTGCCATCCTGGCTTTTATTTGAGCTGGGGAGGTCCTGACTGCCAGGTGGGTGTTGGTGCAGACAGCACCTCAGGCAGTGGGGCTCCAACCTGATGGAGAAACTGGGCAAGTCCCTTGACTTCTAGATGCTGAGACTTACCAGAGATTGTGGTTAATATCAAATATTAGCAGTTGTTATCTAATAAACAAGCTTGATAACCTAAATAGCAGCATCACTTAAATACTGGGATCAGTGAGCCTGTGGAAACAGCTCTCCCCCTGCAGCCAGGCAAAGGGGAAGGTGGCAATCCTGGGCTCTCAGTACTGCGGGGTGATTGATGGGCTAAACAAACCAAGAAAACCTTGTGGGTTTATGAACTTCATATCTAAGTGTGCATAGCTGAAATCATTAAATATCTGCAAAGCTGAGAAATTCCTTGAGAACCGGACACCACTTGGCTGCTGGTGGAGCCTGCAAGCCATAAAAGCTGCAGTCAGTGATAAGGGTTGTCTTCATGTCGTGGTTAATGGGAGTGTGTGGGTGTGGGGCACGTGACCATGTACAGGAGCACTGCTACAGCCCACTGTCTGCTTATTCTGCTTTCCCTTCTGCACTGAATGTATTTTCATGTATCTGTTGAATTTTTTAGGTTTATTCTGCCGTATTTTAAATACTCTAAGAATGCTTTAAAATGCGTTTATCGTTTACCCCATTTTTGGTGATGTTTGTTTGCACGGTGGTCTCATCAGCAAAGAAGCTGCTCGTTCACATTAGAGTTTTATTATGGTTTTAGACAAAAGACTAGGGGTACAAAACTAGAAAAAAATGCTAGAACTTGTTGAACAAAAATGGGCTGTCTTGACCATTACTCTGGGGTATATTACATGGGTAAATTGCTAACAGTGACTTTTTTTTCTCATCCTGTGTTTTTTAGCTTGGTTGGGTCGAAGACTTTTCAAAGCCAAGGCATTTGGGTTTTATTCTGCTGCAAGAAATGATGAATCCATGAGTAGCCTTTTAGGGAAGGAGATGCCTCAGGAAGGAAAGGCACATCAGTAATGTGTCCCCAAATACTGCAGGGCCTTCTGTGGGTCAGGGCATTTTTTCACTATGATGGATTTTTTTCCTTTCTTGTATTCCTCCAGTCCCTTTTTGAGTCCAGGTAAACTTTTACTACGTTTTGTCCTGTGCCAAGGTGTTCTACAGCTTAATTATATGTGAATGAAGAAATGATTGCTCTTTTGCTTGTCCTGAGTTTGGTAGTTCCACCTGTTACCCTCTAGCTCTTCTATAGGAAGAGGCAGTAAACAATTATTCCCTGTTCACCAATCTTTGTTAAACTTGCATTACGTTCCTACCTTCAGCTGATGTACCCAAACATATGCACTCACTCCTCACACAGAAGTTTTCCTCTTGCTTTTTGCCAGTTTTGCCCTTTATTTAATCATTAATAAAGTGCACTGATTCAGTCATGGCACCCCTGCTGCTGTAGGGCTGTAACCAATTCCCGTGGGTATAACTGAGATCCCTCAGTGTTTTGTTTCTTGTCGCTGTGGCCTCACTGATCTGGGCACGTCACTGTCACTGCCACCAGCTGAGCCTGCAGCTCCCTTCAATGGGAACTTAATTCCTATTTTAGACACAGGATGTCTGTCCCCAGTGACACTTTTACTACTTCTTGCTGTTATCCTGTTCGTTCTGTTGAAGCAAACGCTTTCTTTTAATGCGGTCCTGCTTGTGCACTGCTGTGATTCATTCTGCCTTTTCTGCACACTTTTTATCCCTGCCCACAGCATCCAGTCCTCCTCCTCTCACTGACTGTCCAACACGTCAGTTAGATCAGTATCCTCATCCAAATTCAGTGTTTGATTCCCCCGATTGGATCTTTTTAAGTGCTTTTGTGCAAAACCAGTTGTCTGCTGTCGTACTTTGAGGACACACCTGATGGTTTGGTGACGTTTCCATTCCCAGGTCTGTTCAGCTGGAGGAGACTGAGGGGAGACCTCACTGCAGTGACACCTTCGTGGGGAGGGGCAGGACTGAGCTCTGCCCTGGGGGGACCAGGGACAGGACCCAGGAATTGCCTGGAGTTGTGTCAGGGCAGGGTTAGATTGGATATTGGAAAACGGTTCTTCCCCCAGAGGGTGGTTGGCACTGAACAGGCTGCCCAGGGCAGTGGGCACAGCCCCAAGGCTGCCAGAGCTGCAGGAGGGTTTGGATGATCCTCTGGGGCTCAGGGTGGGACTGCTGGGGACGGGCCTGTGCGGGGCTGAGGGTTGGACGGGATGATCCCGGTGGGATCCGGGCCCGTTCTGTGGGATTCCACTTTGCCGGCACTCCCCGTGCGCGGCCCCGCCCCGCGCGCCTCACGGAGCCCCGCGCGCTCCCGCCTCACGGAGCCGCGCGCGCCCGCGCACGGGACGCGCCCCGCGGGCGGGGGGTGCAGCGGGCGGCGCTCTGCGAGCCGCGCGCGCTCCAGCCCCGCGAGATCTGCGCGCGCGCCCGCCCGCGTCATGTTTTGCCGGTGACACCCGGGCCGGGCGGACGCGGCCCCGCCGGGAACCCCCCCCGCGACACCCCCCGCACCGCCGGGACACCCCGCACCGCACCGGCCTCCACCGCCACCCCCGCACCGCACCGGCACCCCGCGGCACCCCGCACCGCCCCGGCCCCGCCGCTCCCGCCGCTGCCTGGTGAGCGCGCGGCCGCCGCGCCGGGGGGCGCGGGCAGGGGCGGGAGGCCTGGGCTCGGCCGGGGCCCCTCACGGCGCCCGGAGCGGGGCAGGGCCGGCCGGGAGGGCGGGCGGCGGGCAGGTGGGGCCGCGCAGGTGGCGGCGCCCTGTTGCTGAGGGGAGGGAGAGGGACGGGCGTCTCTGGCAGCGCTCGTCCCTGCGCGGGGGCTTTTTGTGCCCCCTCAGAGCGCCGTGCCCCGGCCGGGCTCCTCCGAGCCCGTGCTTCGCTCCCACAGCCTCGCGGCCGTGGCGTGGCCGTGCGTTCCCCCCGAGCTCTGGATGCATCCCTGGCTCCCTGCATCCCGCCTGGACGCGGCCGGTGCCGCAAAATCCACCGTAAGGTTTGTCACGTTGGCCTCCATCGGCTCCGGGCACGGCTGGGGGTGTTCCCCGCACCTCCCGACCTGTCAGCCCGTGCCATCGGCGCCCCGGGGCCTGCTCACTCACCCTTGCTTGCCATCCTGAAAAATTGTGTGTATGCTTTTACTCAGGGGCGGTTTATTTTGTATTCCAAAGCGACGTCCGAGCAGGTGTTTTGCTGTGATTTTTTTTTTTTTAAACTGCATGTGGTTACTTTTCTTTCGAAGTTCCTGCGTGCAAGCTGCTTTCCATGTTGTTTTTTCTTTTTTAAGGGACAGAACCCTATTGTTGTGCTCGCTCTCTCTCCCTTTCACAGCGCACATAGGAGTGGTTTAGTGCAGTTGTTGAGCATCTTCATCTTGTGCTGTCACATGTGTGAGCCGATTGTTTCCTCACGGACTGGTGAATTTGCTGTGGCTGGGCCGTGTGCTGTGTGTACAGATAGGTGTACTGGTGTCTGTACACGGGTGGGGCTGCCTCACGAGGTCCAGCAGATTTGTAGCCCAGCAGAGCGTTCTGTGCTGTTATTTCTTACCAAAACCTCAGAGCTGTGAGTTTACACCTGCTGAATTTAGAGCTCCTTCCCGGAGGCCCCGTGTATCCCACATCCCCTGTGGCTCGGGGGAGGATGTGCATCTCAGGGGTGACTCTCACAGACTGAGGGGGAAAACCTGCAAAAAAAAAAACATTTAACCTACAAAGGTGGACTGTGCACCTGCTCAGGCTGCTGCTGCTTCCCCGTGGTCCAAGAGGGGTCTGTTATTTTTGTGGGAAGGATTGAAAGCTGGGCAGTGTTGTGCTGTTGACAGAAGGGCACTGCCAGTCTCCCCTGTCCCTGCACCTGGGAGGAATTGTAGCTTTGTACACAGTGGTTGTGTCTCAGAACTGAACTCCTTGTCTCTGAGTATAAACCTGTAGCTGTTTGAGGATTTCCTCTCTGCTCTTCTGTTGTTATTTAAATACATCGTGTGTGTTTTGATCTTTGTCTGAACGTTAAGGATAAAGGTGTTTTTGTGGCTGGAAGTGTGTAAGCTGAGGGGGGAGTGGGGGTGTTGAAATGTCTTTATGGAAACTGTGCAAAGGAGGTATTTATCTAATTGTTGCTTAAGAACAGGGATGTAAAGTATTTGACTTATTTTTACCGAAGGACTGCTTGGCATAGTAAGAATATAACACAGCATTTTTTTATTTAATCCTTCAACTGAAAAAAGCTGCTCTTCTCTTATTTCAGAACTGAATTAAATGGATAGTGGTTGATGAGGGAAAGGTTTAAGTGGACTGGCTAAAGATGTCAGTTGTTCTTTGTATTTAGTTTACCAATTTCATGTAGCCATGGTCTGTCTTTCTCAAAGACAGCAGTACAGGGGTGCTCTGCATGTTTTAAAGTATCAGTGATGATGGAGTGGGACCTTTTTGTGGATGGGGAAAGCTCCATGTGGATTTGTATTTTGGTAGTACAATTAATAAATATATACATTCCAGTACTTTTGTTTAAGACACTTAATATTCCAGCCTTCCTTTCTGTTTTCAGTGTAATTATTCTTGTAATACTCATGGGGCAGAGAAGCACTTTTATCCCCCTTTTAGAAATAAGTAATGGAGACAAAAATAAGTATTTCAGGAAGACCTGGTGGAGCAGGCCTTTGATTTCTGGTCACAGGTTGTTCCAAAGTGATTGTCCTTTCAATACCACCGTCTTCATTTAGGCCCTGGACAGGGAACTTTTCTTCCTCTTGAGAGGTTTTTATCTGGCACTGCTGTTTTAGTTCGGTGTAGGGTGCAGTTCTCTTGGCTGGTTTGACCTCCTGGTGTCAGAGCCATCTCAGTGACTGCTGAGTCCTGTGTTGGCTGTGTTTCCTTCTCAGAAATACTCAAAGCTTCAAATTGCTGGCAGGTTTTGTTTTTGTCTCTGCCTGTAGCGAGTGACAGCCACGTGGAGCATCCAAATCTCGGAGGTGTTTTCTCTTTACAAAAGTATCCCTCAGAAAAGGGAGCTCTGCCTGAAATCAGTGGCAGTGCTGCTGCAGCTGCTCCCTGGGCACTGGAGTCATTTGCAGTTACCCTGGTAAATTCTGAATATGGAAAAACCCCAAAGCCCAGCCTGGAACCCAAGAACTGTGGAATTTGCCAATGCAGAGCCAGTGGAACTGTGACCTTGGAGCTGGCCAGGTGTATTCCCTGGCCTGGCCTGCCTGTTGGCATTGACCTGATGCCATCAAGTTAGTTGGGAGGAAATTCAGGTGGCTCGAGCAATCATGTTCTCTGCTGGAAGCTCGAATTAATTTGCTGCTTAAACAAGAACCTGCAGCTCGAGCCCTCCTTACCAGTAATAAAATTGGTTTGCTGTCAGGTCTGTATGGCCCAGAAATTTCATCGTCCAAATGTTTCCTTATATTTAGGAATTTATACAACAGAAGTTTCTTTTTGGGTCAGTTGTACCTGGAATACTCTGAGGCAAGGAATGTAAATGTTACCTGGAAGTGTTAACACGAAGGGGCATCCACAGCTTGCTGGGCAACCTGCTCTCGTCTCACCACCCTCTTTATTAAGTTTCTTCTTTATTTCTAATCTAAACCTGCCCATTTTCAGTGTAAACCCCTCACCTCTCATCCTGTTACCCCAGGCCCTGATAAAAGACATCTCCATCTTTCTTGTATTTCCCTTTTATATATGTATATATCTCTGTAAATACATATATCTCACAACTGCAATCCACTTTCCCACTTGCTACCTTGAAAGCTAAATGAGTGTGAATTTTGACTCCTTGTCCATATTGCAGTCCCCTGTCCACTGCTGACTTTCTCAGTCTCCAGTCAGGATTGCTGGTAAATACATCTTCAAAATGTTTGTAGTTTTTGCAAGAAAATGTCAGTGTTTCTGTGTGTTCTGGTGGTTGAAAACACCGGGACTACCCGGTGAGTAGAAGTTCAGGTGATTGTTCTCTCAGGGAAGGTGGGAGTGGTAAAACCTCACCAGGGTTTTCATCCCTTCTCCAATGCCAGATCAGGCCCCTGTCTTTACTCAGACTGTTGGAATGTTTTTGGTACATGGAGATTTCTGCTGCTCAGCTCTTTTTCTCAACTGCTGCTGCTGATTCTGGATGTGGAGAGTCTCACACTCTCAACTTTCCTTCAGTGAACTTTAATGCATCTAAAGAAGTAATGAGTTAAGTTGATTTTCAAAGTTTCTCTGCAGAATAGTAATAATTTTTATTTCTCCACTGCTTGGGCAGGCATTGCACAGCACCCAAGGGTTTACCTGGGCAAGCCATGATTAGGTTTTTATATCACTTTATTTATAAATGTAAGGGTAAATATCTTAAATTTCTCATTAACTTAAATAATAATGTTGGGAGATGGACCAAAGTGTGACCAGTTGTGACCAGTTGAAAGCATAGGGTTATAGTGATTTCAGTAGTATAGTAATGAACAGATAATAGAAAATGAATAATCCTAAATAAATAATGAAGGAAGACTGAATTTGGAAGAATACCGGTAGAACCCCAGCATGTCTCACCTAACATACAATATTTGGAAAGAGAAGTCGGCAGTTTTGCTGCAGAGCAATCCTGATTGAGCTCCCATGTTGTCAGTTTGTTCCCATATGCTGAGCAGGAGCTGACACAGGGTGGAGGGACAGTGGCCTTTGTGCTGGCTGGGGACAGATGTGGAGGAGCTGCTGCCAGTGGTTGTGAGGAGTGCAGGCCCAGCTGCTGGAGCTGCTGCTCTTGCCTCCTCTGCTGGGGTTCCTTCTGCCCCTGCTTTGTTTTGTTTCAGTTCTTGGTTAATTGGTATAATTTCTCTGCAGTGTCAGTGTTTTCTGATGTAGCATTTTTTCTTTCCCATGGCTGTTTTGTGTGGATTCCCATTCCCATCCCATCTGTCCTGACACTGTGTTCAGACTACATGTCTTTCCCAAAAAAGAACATTTGAGGGTTGTTCCCTTGCACAGTGATCTGCAGGGCTTTTTGGCACCAGTAAATTATCGAGCAAATAACTCTTTTGGGCAACATTATATCCTGTTGGTTTGAACCCTCCTGGTGTTCCCTGGCCAGGAGCAATATGAAACATCTTGCAGGTTTTGCATTCCTTGTGCAATTTATATTGTTGGCCTGTGACAAGGCAGGATTTTAATCCCTTTTATACATTCCTGGTTTCTAAATCACCTTTCAAGAAAAAAAAGCTCTAAAGGTTGTTTGGAGCCCTGATACCTGCTGCTAAAATCCTTATATATATAACCCCTTTTTATGAAGAAAGGGAAGCAAATCAGGTTGCTTTTCTTTTAGTTGCACTTTCAGGTTGTAAATAATAAAGATGGCAAAAATCTCTGCATTCTGAGAGCTGGCAACACGTGAAGCGAGGTTTTACTGGGACTTTGTGCCTCCCTTATAAAAAGTATGGAAGAGTGGAATGATAAAGACTTAAAAGGTCATGAAACAATAAAGGAACTGGGAAAATGGCAAAGGAATCTGGTCTGGATGATTCAAGGTTTTCAGTGTTCTGTGGAAAGATCTTTGGTTTAGTTGGTGCTGCAGAGGAGATATAAAATAACCAGGTTTTGTGTGTTATGGTTGTAGTAGATACAGAATAAAGGCTTTGGTTT